CCCCCCCCCCCCCCCAGCCGCTTCTGCTCGTCCCTGCTATGAATATGTGAGCAGCGATGCCCGTCACACTCAGTAACGCTCGATTTTTACTGTTATTTTGTTACTATACATTTTATAGATAAATACGAATGCGCAAAATTTATTAATAAATATGCATATAATGCATTTAATGCAGCATATCCCGGGATCTCTGAGCTGTGCTCACTGAATCTTTTTCGTGGTTCTAACACTTGTTTCATTTCACTGCTCGGACTGCCGTGTAAAAGTCTCGCCCTCAACCGAGGATGGGGTGGGTGCCCGCGCTTGGCCAGAGGAGGGCAGCCTATCCTTCTTTTCCGTGGGGTTGTTAAAAATGCACATGATGTGAGGAGGAGTCCAGTTGGGCAACCTGAAATGCATGTCTGTTACAGAGCTGTGTCTGACTTCCTTTCTGTCCCTTGTTGTTGTTTTCCAGACCAGCAGGAGGCGCCTCTCCTTTCACTCACCACTGTGTGGACAGACTGACTCATGGAAGACAAGCGGAAGAAGAGGAGCCCCAAAGTGTCGCTGCCACAGCCGCCCCCACCCCCCGTCAACCCCCGCAAGCTCTCTGTGCTCCCGGCCAGTAAGAGCACGAGCTTCTCCCTCGGCCTGCCCCAGCCACCCTCCCCCAAGCCCCGGGGCAAGGTCAAGAGATCGGTGGCAGCTTCTGGACAGTCTAAAGAAGGGCTCAGTGCGACTGTCCCCCCCCCAAAGACCACCAGGTAAGCTGAGCTGTCGTGGACAGCCTGGGCCATGCTTACGTTGGGACTTAAATGCTTTGCATGTGAATTTTGTATTTAATGTCGCGTATATCTGCTGTATTTAGTTTTCCATGTACCTCTGCTTGTAAAACCAGTCAGAGGCAGGGGCTTGTGCTGGCAGTAACCCCCCCTCCTTACACTTGACCTCCTGCAGGCAACACAAGGAGAGGCCCAGGGTGCCATTCCCTGCTGGCCCCAGCAGGGCGGCGCAGTCGTCCCCCCTGCAGCACTCGTTCCTCACAGATGTGTCTGATGTGCGCGAGATGGAGGGGGGGCTGCTCAACCTCCTCAACGACTTCCACTCCGGGAAGCTGCAGGCCTTTGGTGAGGGGGGGGATCTTTAATGCTGAGGCCTTTGGGGGAGGGGGAATCTGCAGTGTTCAGACTTTCGGTGTGGGGGGGCGGGTCTCATCCAGGACTGATGAGATCCCGCTGGAGATGTCAGTCAGAGAGAGACAGAAATAAACAGCAAACCTGAGCACCTGAGAGTCTGTCATACTTCATGACCTTTGTCACTTAAGATGGCACCTTCACAGCCCTGAGGGTCTCAACTTAACCGGGACATTAGGAAGGAGCATGTGGCATGTGTGAGTCGTGATGAAGCGGGTGTCTTTGTGGCCTTCTGTAGCCATTCCCGTCTATCTGCCCCCCAGGTAAAGTGTGCTCCTTTGAGCAGCTAGAGCATGTGCGGGAGATGCAGGAGAAGCTAGCCAGACTGCACTTCAGCCTCGACAGTCACGTGGAGGAGCTGTCTGAAGACCAGAGGAAGTCTGTCTCCGATCACAACTTAGAACACCTGCTGTCCAATGTAAGATCTGTGCCCTTAGCCGCCACGTGCTGTTCCTGTAGCTCAACAAGTACAGCATTGTGCTAATAATGCAAAGATTGTGGGTTCGCCTAGTCCCCATAGCAACATGAGTGTCACCATGCTCTGCTGGGGTGCTGAATGGGTAAGTGGTGTTAGCTGGAGGCTGTGTCTGCAGTGTATGCCCAAGCGTTCCCTCAGTGACTTGCTCCTCCTGGTGTTCTGTCCGCAGCTGGAAGAGCTCAGCAACTCCATGTATCCTTGGCAGTGAGAAATGTGAGCTTACATCAGAAGACTCACTAATAACTGTCAAGCCTTGAGTGAGGCTGGTGCATTTTGTTCATCTGTCATAAAGATATGTCTTTCTTGGGTTTGCTATTACTTAACCTTAACATGGACATTTCCAGACAGAAGTTACACTTGGCTGAGAACCAGGACCTGCCCAAGACCTCCAACCCATGAGGAAGCATACAGCTGATGGGAAGGCGCAGTCCCACAAGGAAGACTGTTGGCTATAGACAGTCATGTGACTGTCCAAGTGATGAAGTGACTGCAGCTGTGATTGGCTGCTTTGGGAATGCAGCCAGACACAGGACCAAGCACACATCCTCATGCGATGAGCTCCTTTTCTCTCCAAGTATAGAATTCTGTGTTGTGTAAGTACACAGCTCTGACCTTTACTGTAACATGGTTAAATGTGGAAGTACTTGTAGAAAACTGGGAAAGTCTTCAGCCAGGCGGACTGTACAGCCCAGTGCAGAGAGGAACCCAGGCATCCATTAGCATTGCAGGTGGGGGCCCTGTCCACTAGCATTGCAGGTGGGGGCGCTGTCCACTAGCATTGCAGGTGGGGGCCCTGTCCATTAGCATTGCGGGTGCGGGCCCTGTCCATTAGCATTGCAGCAGCACAGCAGGATGGGTGTCAGTGGGCTCCACACAACAGGGCCTGTCAGGAGTCCAGCATCTGCTATACTCCAAAAGCAACGCAGTGGCCGGTGCTCTGAGGCTTCGTTGGCTGGGGGGTGTTGTCATTTCTTTTTCTGCCTCACCTTCTTTTCCCATCTTCCGTCCCTTACTTTGTATCTGCTCCATCCTTCTCTCTTTCCTTCCATCCCACCATTTCTTTGTGGGGCTGCACATACCTTAAGTGGGATCAGCTTTCAGTGCGTGAGCACACATATTGCCATGATGCTGCTAATGTGCCCTAGATCTTTTCTGAGAAACTCTCATGAGATCACTTGAGCGTCTTGAAACGGAAGAGGCTTCTCACACCGGGTCTGCCAGGGCTGCATTAACCACCGAAGCCCCCTTGGTTTTTATTGACAGGAAATAGAAAAGCCGCTTCTGATCAGGTTCATCATCCAGTAGCACAGTAACACATGTTGCATCCATCAAATGCTGTTATTATGCGTTTAGCTGCATCTCAGAGTTCTGCCGCGCAGTGCAGCTCAGCATCTCTGCTGACGGGATTCCGGTTACATTCCTTCCTGGAGGTGAAGTGCCGTTCCTGGGACTTGGGCCTGCTATCTCGTTACCCTGATTTCTCAGCAGTGCTAATGCTGGAAACGAAGCATATTATTAACAAGCTATTTCAAGGAACAAACGACAAACCTCCAGCAACAGCGAGAAAACTAAGTCTTCAGTAATTCCCTTCTGTTCTGACACCTTTTCACAGCAGTGTTCCTACTTTGAGATAGTTGGGGGGGGGTCAGTTTTACATAGTTAGGGAGGGGGTCTTACATCCTTGATTTATAATGTGCCCAAATATTTGCCGTGATGACAGAACCTTCCATGACTGTCACATTGCATGCTGGGTAGGAGCAGTTAGATTCTTTACAGACTGCATGACAAGCACAACAAACGTTGGAGCCCCGCGTGCTTCTGGAGCCAGGCCTAGCCGTCAGGATATGGTGACCGCCTGTCTCCTGATAGGTGTCTTTTAGGGGTCTCTGACCACTGTGGGATTTCTTCTTACTGTCTGCTCTCAACATTTATGTCTATTTAACAATTAAAAAAAAAAATAAAATTTACTCACAGGTTTATACGCTTTCTTTCTTTTTTGCACTACAACTTCACCCTCAGGGAGTTCTGCTGCTGCTTGTCACGGGAAATCTATTTTAGTGTGTTAATGCAATACTCTTCGGGTAACTAACTAAATGAACTAAAAAGTACATTGAAATACGCCCTTTTAAAGTGGCCAGCATGTCCCGTTCAGGGTTATTGGCTCTCTGATACGTAGACTGACCACCTATCCTGTTATGATAAAACGAACACATAGCTGGCAGATTCTGCTATAAAATGTATTTCACAGCGCGCGAGAAACATCTCTGGGGCTACTGTGAGGACCAAGGCGTAGCAATTTATGCACGCCGATTGTTTAGAGGACAAGGAAAGCACCTCTGCTCTCACATTCCGCACAATAATAACAGATGGCGACACGCACGAGAAGAAGCGTTCACGTGACAACCGTTGCTAAGGAAGCATGAAAGGGCGCTTCCGGTTTGCGGGTCTGGGGGACGCGGCCAGATGAGCGCGTGGAACTTAGAGCGGCGGATAACGGCGTTTCAGGTGAGCGGGGGTCGTCGCATTGTCGCCTTTTTATGCGTGTATGTATGGAGTTCACGATAATCTCGCTATCAGCCTTTGATGTAATACTTACCGGTTGTAGCCGTTGGTTGATACAATAAACAGCCAATTGCATCGCTGGCCGTAGTACTCATACGGACACGAATGGGTTCCGTTTTCCCGCTTTAAAATCCTGTAAACACACCCGCGATGTGTAAAAGGCTATTCATGCTAAGCGGGAACCGTGCCGTAGCAGGCCAGCGGCCGAGGGTGGCTGGTCCGTCGGGATCTCGGCCTGGCACGCCGGGATTATGAGGACATCGTGAGGGAGATCGAGGGGGAGCTGAGCGGCCTGCTGTGGAGGGGAGCTGCCATGCCGACCCCGCGCTTCCCAGCACTGGTGAGCGCTGCCGCATTTACCCAGCCGGCGGAGTGTGATGTGGACTTAAGACTTAGGGCTGCATTGCAGCATCACTGCTGAATTTAACATAAAACACTGAAGGAGAATTCCAAGCACTCATTGCCCTGCTTATGTCATTTGTTATTGTGAATTGTGTCCCATCGCCAGAGTAGTGCAGGCAGTGCTGGGGAATTGAGTGCCAGCTGCCCAGGAAGAAGGCTTGGAGAATCACGGCAGGAAACCCACATGCCAGAGAAAGACCATGGCCCAGGTGCACCATCCCAGCTCTGCTCCACAGTGGAGGACAGTGGGCCTGCAGGGAGCGAGAGCGAGGCAGTGCCCCGCCTCCATGTGTCAGGTGGCAGGGATGAGACGGGGGACGGGGGTGTGTCACACAACGTGGCTGTGGACTGCAACTATACCAGCCAACTGCGGCAGATGGGTAAGGGCAACTGGCCAAAGCGCGGCAGCTCCAGGCATCGGCTGCGTGGCCTCTCACCGCAGGGCTGTTGTGTTCTCAGGGATGCAGCGGCAGAGTTGGGTCCGGGAACTGCCTAGAACACGGGAGGAGCTGCGCCTACAGCGGAGCAGCCTGGCCATGGAGCTGCTGTGGGTCCAACAAGCCATCGGCAGCCGCAAGAAGGTGCACCCCCCACCCCCCCGGGCCGTGCATTTTGCTCTGCTGTTAACTCTCTAGTGGGGTGAAGCTAATCTGTGCTGTCACTGCTCTCCTTGCAGTACCTCATGCTGAAGCAGGGGCTGGCCGCTCCTGTACAGTAACGGGGACCCCCGCCCGGATTGTTCCAGTAACGGGGACCCCCGTTACTGGAACAGACCGAGCACATCGTACAGTGAGGGAGCACTGCTATCGTGCAGCTGTCCAGGCGCACACGGACCTCCTCCCGACCCTCTCCCGGCCTCCTATGTGGAGAACATGAGATATATGCTACCCTGGTGTTTGTGATTCTATGAAGGTCTGGCCTGATGCAACTATCTGCTAAATTTGTAAATGTGACATGAGTCTGTTTCGTTTCTGTGTGTAATTAATTGATACCAGTAATAAAGACATATTTTTGTAACGTTTCCTTCTGTCTTATTAATCTGCAGGGTCATGTGATTGCTCTATACATGTGCTGTACAGTGTTCATTCAGAAAGGTCAGGAATTCACAATGATTTTGAATTTGGGGTTTCATTTTACTATATCTCTGCAAGATCAGATCTGTAAGTAAAGAGTGACATGTGACCTACGTACCTAAACCCATAGATATCTATAGAATGACTAGATGTCTCGTCTGCGTTGCTGGCCAACGGAGTCGAACGTCCGCATATGGCGGCCATCTTACCACAGGCTGCTCGCTCACCCAAAATATTGTGTTGATAGTAAAACATGTAATTTTTAAATAGCCATAACGTGCTCAATTTTTAACCGATTTTCAAACGGTTTGATTTTATAAACGTCAAATATGTAGTTATGACACTGAATACTTTTGAATAATTATCTTATGTTCTAAAAAATAGAATAATGTTCTAGAATAGGTAGACTAAGCCTACAAGATTTCCCTTAACAAATATACATCAAGAAACGCTGCATGTTAAAATCCCCACCCTGTACAGTGATGACTATAACACAGCACAAAGAACTAAAGTCCATATTTCCAAATTGTTAATAAAAATATTTTTACACATAAAATGGTAGTAAACAGTTTGTTTAGACATTATAAAGGCACTTTCCAAAGATTTTTGAAGATTTATTAAAATCAATGTTTAGACAGAGGTGTTAGAGACATTTGATGGATTTTTTTTTTTTTTACATTTTTATTAAAAATTTAGCGAAGTAACAAAGGTGTCCCAGTGGCGCTGGTTCTGGTCCTCATCCAGCTGGGCCTGATAAGAGTGGGTTAGCATTACTATAACTCATGATCAGTGGCGGCTGGTGAATGTGTCATTTTCACATACAAACGGAGCATTCTGGTGCATTCGGACAAAATAATAGATAAAAGTTAACATTCTCTCCCTGTGTCTGTATGTGTGTTTGTGAGAAAGTGAGAGAGAGAGACAGAGAGAGGGAATGTGATTTTAAAATGGGTGTACGTTAAACAAAATATTCTAAACCTTGTGTCAACAACAATCTAGCAATACTATTATGTAATATGTACATACTTCCACTAAGTAACTAACGATTATCCTAAAAATAATTCATAATATTGTAACATCCTACAGGTGAAAGGTGATCCCTCGGGTTCTCGTTTCGAGACAACGGCGGTTACAGCAGACATAGGCGGCACAAAAGTCTGGCATCTTGTCAGCAATTTCCTGTAGAAATCATAATGTAAGACGTTTTAACAAACCAACCAGACAGTAAATCATGTGTAAATTCAGTTAAATCATGTTTATAATGTGTGTATTATATTGAAAAGAAAGCGTAATTCTGCCTCGCCCCAAATTACTGGATCGCTAGTAGCCTAGCTAGGCGTGATACACAACTAAACTGCACGATTAAGTCAGTTTTTTTTTCGAGGAGAAAAGCTGCGATTTCAACATGTTCAAGCATCCAGAACTATAACCACGTTAATAATGTTTGTAAGAAAACACACAGTTGTAAATCCATCAAGATTTCAGCGAGATAAGAGTATTAACGTTTGTGCAGGTCACTTACCTTACCTCCGTTTACCTGAGGTTCGAATGATCCCGCCAGAAAGCCAGCCTGTGGTAAGATGGCCGACCTGTGCGGACGCTCTAGACCTCGTCATAATACATCTAGTCATTCTATATATATATCTATGCCTAAACCTGCTTAAATACGTAACTTCAGTCAGCTGTGTGGAAGTGCACCCCCTGGTGGGTACTGTGTGCCTCTGCTTCCCCTCTTCCCCAGGCACTATGAATTATTTTTGTTCTCTTCCTGCTAATGTTTGTGCTCCTTAGCCTCCTGTTGCTTTGATGTCATGAGGGGCCGGCCTTGCATGTGATTGAGGGACCAGGTGTCAGGTTATCGCCAGTCATATTCTCTCTCTCTGTCTCTCTGGCCCATGCAGCCAATTGTGCCTGGCTCTGCTGCCATGGCAACCAGCAACAGTGACGCTGAAGGCAGTTGTGCGAGCAAGACCCAGCACTGGGAGCAGTGCGCTTGGCGGTGCTGAGACTCTGCAGGGCGATCAAGCTCCACGGAGACATGGCCACCAGCTGGATGTCAGTGCCGGCGGCAAAGAGTGTCCTGGTGTTCAGGAACGGCGACCCCTTCCATACGGGCCAGCGGCTGCTGCTGCGGCCAAGGGCTGGGGCCACGCTGGAGGCCTTCCTTAACGAGGTGACGCAGAGCATTGGGGCCGCGGTGGCGGTCAGGGCCCTGCACACCCCCCGGCACGGCCACCGCGTGCGGGACCTGCAGGAGCTGCGGCCCAGGGGCGCCTACGTGGCCACCGGTGTGGAGAAGTTCAAGAAGCTGGAGTGAGTGCCATGGGTGGGCAACTTGTCGGCTCGGGGGTGGGTATGTGCGAGCGAGAGAACAAAGTGGGAGGGCCACCGAGCCTGGGCTTTCCAGAATGTTCCACATGCGAGTTAATGATTATATGAGGGGGAAGGGGGTTCAGGAAGACCCCCTGTGGTGTGATCGTCCGGGTGTGTCACAGCGTCTGATCTGTGTTTTCTTCCTCTCAGTTACTTGAACACAGGAGCCAGGAGACCGGAAGCAGGCCGAGGTGCTGCTGGACCGCAGGTGGGTCGACTCTGGCTCAGTCCATGCCTGTTACTCATTAACCCGGAAAGCTGCGGTAACCTCCTACCCCCCAGACTGTCAGTCATGTCATTGCCATGGAAACTGGGAGATCATTCACCTGTGACAATCTGTGTTCTGCCCTGTAACGTAGTGTGTGAGTCAGAAATTTGGGGAATGCCAGCCATTCTCAGGCCATTGTTCAGTAAGAGCGACTAGAATGTCACAGCACTGGGCAGGTGGATGGCTGGTGGGCTCACGGTTGAGGCTGAAATGTCGTAGGCTGATGGGCAGCGGCCACCAGGTCCCAACATTCCCTGGGCCAGACTTGTGTTAGGTCTAAGCTCGCTGAACCATTGGCTGGTGGGAGGGGGTCCATGCTCGCGGCCTCGTGTTGTATCTTAGAGCCTGGCATGCTGACATGCCCCGCCTGTAGGTGTTGGCTGTGTGCCGCTGTCCCCGCCTCCGTTCCTCTATCGTCGTCTGTGTTAGCTGTGCCGGGCCGTTTGCAGGCCCTGTGGAATCCATGGGTGACTCCTGGGTCTCTCTCAGGTACAGCCCCCCCAGAGGCCCAGTGTGTCTGCCAGGTGGAGGAAGGCTGTGCACCTTCCCTGTGTTGTGCAGTGGGTAACAGCCTGTGCATCCTCACACACACATATTAGCCTGTGCATCCTCACACACACATAATCATACCATGTGTGCTCACAGCCATGTGACACCCCCCCCCCCCCGGTGTCTCTGTGTAGCGTGTTCCGTAATGGCGACGTTCTGGCCCCCCCACTGCGCCTCCTCATCCCCCGGAGCCTGCAGCGGGACCTGGAGCAGGTGCTGGGCCTACTCACTGAGAAGACTGACCTTCGCACTGGAGCTGTGCGCAGGTGGGGGCCGGGGGGCCTGAAGAGAGGCCTTGGGGAAGTAAAGCAGGTCTGGGGGCACTTCAAATCACGATGTTCAACCCCCCCAGGCTGTGCACTCTGGAAGGTGGGACTGTGTCATCTGTGGACGAGCTGGTGAGCGGCCAATATTACGTTGCTGTGGGGACAGAGAAGTTTAAGAAGTTGCCGTATGTTGAGATGCTTGTCCAGAAAGCACCCGGCGCAGGCCTCAGGTACAGGGGGGTGGGCGAGGTACAGGAGGGGCTGTGCAGCCTGGGCTCTGACTCTCAGGTCTTTTAGGAACCACCCCAGAAGCCGGAAGCTTCCACAGCATCGGCAGGTAGGAACACGACAGAGGAACAGAAATCCACTGCTTTCCTGACTGACAACACTGATGTAATTTCCTGTCCATTTATCCAGCAGACCAGGAAGCCCGTCAGTGTCCCACAGGATAGGTACAGCGACTCGGCGCTGCTGGTGTCCCCAGAGGTATGAGCCCCTCCTGCTGGCAGCCTGCCTGTGCTGCAGCTCCCTCGTCAGGAGGAAATTAATATCCTGGACCCCTGTAGGGCGACAGCCGGCGAGTCAGATCCACTGGGGATGAGGCAGAGGGCGGAGGGCCCAGGGAGGGTAGGAGCCCCAAAAAGGAAGAATCTCTCTTCTATGCCAAGCCCATGAGGGTCCACAAGAACCGAGCTGGATCCAGAGTCCCAGCAGCGAAGGGGGGACAGGGTGAGTGGAGCCCCCACATGTCCAGGTACGGAATCACACACACGCTGAGGCTCTGACTCATGCTCACTACATTTCAGCACAGTCCAGTGTGTTTAATGGTGCTGTGAGGAAGAGGAGGGAGGAGACGCAGGGCGCTCAGCAAGTGGCCGAGGATGAAGACACTGCTGTAGAGCTTCCTCTTGATCAGGTGACCTTCAGTTTGGGTACGATGATGGTCTGTAAGCTTCACAGAAAGCACTGATCCTGCCACTTTGCTGCCTCTGGTGAGGGGAAACTTTATCTTTTGTTCTCAATGTCTAAGAGGGTGTCAGAGACGGTGGAGGATGAAGCTCTTGGTGAAGATGATGGCAGGGCTTCCCCCAAGGATCACAGACCGCAGGTAGGCCTCTCCTGTTTGTCACCCTCCAAGCATCCAGCGGTGTTTAGAAGAGGTGAGAGCTGTGAGCCGCACTGGCATTGAACACCGTCCCCAAGTGCACACGTGCCTGAACACTCCTGTCCCCGAGCGCACCCGTGCCTGAACACTCCTGTCCCCGAGCGCACCCGTGCCTGAACACTCCTGTCCCCGAGCGCACCCGTGCCTGAACACTCCTGCCATTGAGCGCACCTGTACCTGAACACTCATACCCCTGTGCCTGAACACTCCTGTCACCAAGCGCACTTCTGCCTGAATATCCCATAGCTGTTTTCACCTTTCTTTAAGCAGCTGGCCACTCAGAACTGGAGAACTCAGTCTTCGAGGTCAGATCTACAAAGTGATCACATCGAAGGAGCCAACAGCCCAGGCCTGCAGACCACCCGGAAAGAAGTGAGTGAAGGACCAGTGAGCCAATGAGAACTGCTCTGATTCTGCTTTAATTTTTAGATTAATGCACAGGACCTTTTTGATTGGTAATCTGTTTCAGGAAACAAATTTCCATGGATCCAGACCAACATCTAGGACCTCAGGGAGTTCTCTGACCCACCAAGAAGTCAAGTATAACTGAGACCAACTACCTGATGGCATAATTACTGTGTGAGACAAGCACAGTTACACCTAACGGTGCTTGGATGTTCAGTTCAAGCAGCACAGGACAGAACTGCAGCCCAGGCCTGGAGGAGGAGAAATTTCCTGCCAGCCTTTCTAAACTTTAGGGTTCATAATCAGTAATATGTAAACTTACACAACAACAGCCTGAAAGTAATATAATATATATTACCCACCAGTGGGTGTCACATGACCTAGTTCACCAATTACAGTGCAGTGTGAAGGACCGGAAAACCTGGAGTCAATTGCAGAAATTCTTTCATCAAATTCAGCTATTGAATAAGCCTCAATGCTTTTGGATGCTCTGTTCCAAAGCAGCAACATCAAATGTCATTCAAGTACATTTATTAACTGCTTAATTATGATTACATACATTAACACATCTAAGAAATGTACAACTAAAAATCCTTTCACATAAAAATGGGATTTTTAATAACTCTTGTAGCCATGTTTTCTTATTTTACTTGGAATAATAAAAAGAAAACTGAGTAATTTCACTCAATTGGATTTACTGTAAATATGGAATCTGACTTCCATCTGAGGTTAAGACAAAGGGATCCATTTAAAAGCTTGCAATATTCAGTGAACCTCACAACAGCTAAATGAACCATAAGCACAGAGCTGACCTGTGAAGGGCCCATTCTCTGCACACCGTGTAGGTGCATGTGAAGACCCTTCCCTACTTATGGCTACACTCTGGAAATTCACATGAGGTCAGCTGTATGTTTTAACTAGCAAGGTTTTTTTTATTTTATTTTTTTTTACTGTGGGTGAGAGACTCATTTTCTGGCTAAATTCACTGAACTCCAGTATTATAAGTTTCCTGTCCCAGCCTGAGCTCCGTGAAGATTAAAAAGGCTTCATTCTAGTCAGGGATGTAGCAGGACCCTCGCACGCAGGCTTCTGTGTTGAGATTCAGTTTTATCCTGCAGTGTCACTCTCCCTGATGGAGCTGGTGACACACAGTGTGACCCCCAGCATCGTCAGGAACATCCCCAGCAGAGCTCCTGAGGACACAAAGAAGCTGCTCTAAGTTACAATGCCATTTCTCTCAGGGTGCACATAGCAGGACTCAAAGACCCAGAAGACACTTGCCTTTCCCATCTACCTCCTCTCCCAGGAGCTTCCCTGCTAGCAGCGTGAAGAGGAAGGTGAGGGAATTCGTCACAGGCACAGCCAGGGACAGGTCTGAGTTAGGTCACAGAGCACCACAGCATCTCATCACTGATCTTGATCTAGTACAGCATCAGGACAAACGATAGAGACTCTGAAATGGCAAGCCAAGGCTGACATCGTGGCAGGCAGGCCAGCTCACCTGTGGTGGCAAGAGTGAGGTAGTACACAAGAGAGCCACTCTGGTTCAGCAGGAAGGGTACAAGGTACTGTGAAGAGAAAATCAGGTAAGGGCCATTTCAACCTCTGCAGAGCTCCTTAATGCTCAGGGATGACTGTGGTGCAATTCGTGTGTAATCCTGTGTACATTTGCCAGCATTGTAAATGGGGTAAATGTGTGTGAAAGCATTCACCAAGTTTACTGCACAAACGATACTGCAGATCAGCACAATAGGTCACCATGTATCCAAAATCAATCTCTAAATCAAAGCACTAATACTACAGATCTTTTGCAGCTTTCATCACCTGCACTGTGCTCTATACTCACCCTGATGTTGATGAAGAGGAACTTGACCTCAGCTATAAGCTGAAAGACCATTCTGCCCCCTCTGACATCCTCTATCCCCTCTGCTCCTTTCTTCAAGAAAGGGTTAGTAGCCCCCCAAAGCAGAGCCACTAGCAGCAGGCTCAGGACCTCTGCTGCGAGGAGAGGACAGAGGGCAAATTTCTTTTCAAATGAGGGACCTCTATGCCTTAACCCATCGAATCTATTTGACTTAGGTGTTGCTGTAATGTTCTGAAGCCATTCACTTGTGACAATAATTCGTGTCAGTCTTCTTTAACTTTATTTTCGCAGTTTTAACTAGAAATGAGGAAAAGTAATTATTTAAGTGTTTTTCTCGTTCAAATGGCTTCCCGGTGTTCGGCTTAGCGGGTTAAGTCGCCGTGCCCAGGATCAGAATGTAGCCGGTTTAAATCTCCGTTGGGCGCTTGAATAAAGTATGTAACCCCCAATTACTCCTGACCTGCTTCCTCAAAACGTACATCGCTTTGAATAAAAACGTCTGCTAAAGAAATGTTAAAAAAAAAAAAAAAATAAGTATGGATGTAACTAAAAATTTTTAAATTAATAAAATGACCTTTTATTTAGCTTGAAGAGACCTTTCCAATGATGTAAAGACCATTATTCTGTGACATAAAATAAGAAAGTTACCGAATTTTAAAAACAGTAATATTGCTCGCATTTTCTGTCAAGAATTACCATTAAAACAATAGAAAATCTGTGACCCGAAAACAAAGGCACTCTTAACTGCTTGTAACTTTCTCATTTCAAGAGCATTTATTTCATATTAATTAAATAAAATTTATTTAATTAATCGAAATAATTAATATTCAATAACATAACACGAGAAATAAGATGGCGGCCAGGCCTCCAGTCATGACCCATTATGATGATCTTGCAAACCCAAAAACAGGACTGCTAAGAAACTTGCCAGAAATTGAAATAAGATCATAAAAAATCGACTCATTAAAGAGTGTTCAGGCACGGGTGCGCTCTGGGACAGGAGTGTTCTCATAACTTATCTTAAGAAATTGCAGACGTGTTTCCGTGACTGAAATTTTCACTTTAAAAACTGATCGCTTTGCTGCTGCATCTTCGGGAAAATTTTCAGTTCGTCTTGAAGGCGAAGATGTAAACTACATCACAATTATTTGTGTTTCCAGAAAAAACAACACATAAAACAATGACGAGCAACACAAGACACGCAGTGCACTGTAGCCCCATGCTCGGGGAGTATCACGGCTTTGGAAAAAATCCAGGTAGCGCGATATCGGGGATACGCGCATACCTATAATAAGTAGTCTGAAAGGCATTTCGTTTCATACAGCTCAAAACGTTTAAACCGTAACAATCCGTATGTTAATCAAGCACAGCCTTTACAATACTTACTCAAAGACACCATAACAGACGTTGCATATCATATGACCAAAACAATCACTTTGACCCGGAAGTAATACTTAATACCAACGATAGAGGGCGCTATATGGTATGTAGTCTGATTATTCTGATAAGGAAAACGCCGTGTATTTCCTTAACGCTTTGACCCGGAAGCGGTTGGTCTTTTTACGCCCGTACTTATCTGCATGCTGCAGCTAGGCCTACTCGTTTCTGTTTTATAGATAAATAATCCTAAAAGTTGAAGATATATTTTTTTAAAACTGTATTACACTGTCGTGGTATTATGGTGAGTGTTGAACACAAGATAAGTTAATTTTTAATTTAATCACTGTCCTTATCTTTCTGTAATCCGTTTTGATGGAGTGCTGCGCGTTAGTAACTAAGCACGCCGTTACATGCGTGTGGAACCGGCTTCTGTCTCTGTGGTTTCTCGTCGTGACGCCGCGGCTGGAGTGTTGATGCATCTTTAAACGCTCATTCTCAATGGCTTAAAAGGACCTAAAGCTGCCCAATTTATTACATCTGTTTAGTCTTAGATCCAAGTCTTTTTCCTTTGGTCATTTATTGTCGAGCGGCAACTTTTAGCCAGAGTCCTGTTGTTTTTATATAAACGTGTATTGTACGTTTTTAACATAGAAACCGTGTCCTAATGTTTGTCAAGGGTTTGAGCTGCCTTTTTCCCCCTAACCCTGTCCTACGCGTACCCAGAGACCCATCCTCCTGCAGGGCCATGAACGGTCCATCACACAGATCAAGTACAACCGGGAAGGCGACTTGCTCTTCTCTGTGGCTAAGGATACGGTAGGGACGTTTGACTCTATCCTGTAAATGCTGGTAAAAAAAAAAAGGGCGTATTTGTGATACTACTGTCATGGACGCAGGTGGCGAATGTGTGGTACTCGGTGAACGGCGAGAGGCTGGGCACCTACAACGGCCACACGGGCGCCGTCTGGTGTGTCGATGTTGACTGTATCCTGATGCTGCATACCGTCAGGCGCTGGCCTGTTACCCTGGAAACCGCTGCTTTTTTGACCTGCCTGGGGTGTTCTTAAAAGTGTGTTGTCTGTCCTTTTCGATGGAATATGTAATTAATTTGTTTCTTCTCCTGGTGATTCTTACCATATTAAAGTTTTATGTTGATTGCCACAAACACCTAGAAAAAAATCCCTCAGCTGATGTCTCCTGGCGTTCCAAGCTTGTCTTTTCCTTAATGGTTGGTTCAGGGGACACCAAACACGTTCTAACAGGGTCAGCTGACAACACATGCCGTCTTTGGGACTGCCAGACGGGTGAGTGGCACCTGTGTGGGGGTTTGGACTGGGCACCGTCGGCTCCTCGCCTTCCAGCTGACCTGTGTCTTTGCTCGCAGGCCGACAGCTGGCCCTGCTGAAGACCAGCTCTGCTGTGAGGACCTGCGGCTTTGACTTTAGCGGGAACATCATCATGTTTTCCACAGACAAGCAGATGGGTTACCAGTGCTACCTGAACTATTTTGACCTTCGGGACCCCCAGCAGATCGGTAGGCATCTGCCTGAGGACCCCCACCCCCGTTCCCCCAGCTGGTGAACCCTGGCCAGTGCTGTAATGGCGACGCAGAAGTAACTTAATGCACTGTTAGCTGATTTCACTGCAAATCCAAAGGTTTGCTGTCTGTTACTGTCTGGAATATTGCAACATGCGATCCTGTGTCATGGCCCCCTCCCGTTCCGTCCCTCCCCCACTCGGTTGTAGCTGGAACCCCAAAGCTGCAACATTGATGTTGAAGTAGGGATGTGGTTTTATCTGTGGCTACAGTGCAGGTTGTAGATTCAGGATTGGATTAATCTCCTTGTGGAAATGACCATGTCTCTTAATGTTTGCGTCCCTCCCCAGAGGAGAACCAGCCCTACGTGTCAGTACCGTGCAGCGAATCTAAAATCACCAGTGCCGTGTGGGGGCCACTGGGGGAGTTTGTCATCGCTGGCCATGAGAATGGAGAGATCAATCAGTTCAGCGCTAAGGTACTGATTCTGTCCATCTATGATGGGTTAAGTCTGCTTCCTGTGGCTCTGTTATTGTGATGTATAAAATGGCACCATTCCTAGTTCAGGTAGGTCTCGCAGCCAGCTGAGCCTTTTCCCGCATGCTCTCTCACCACAGTCTGGAGAGGTATTGAGGAAGGTCAAAGAGCACACCAAGCAGATCAATGACATCCAGACCTCGGTGGATCTCACCATGGTTATCACCGCCTCCAAGGACAACACTGCCAAGGTATGCAGCACAGTGCTGGGCTTCAGGGTGACTCCACTGGGGGTCTGCAGGATCAGCGACCATCCTCTGAAGCTGATGTTCGTGTGCCAATCTTAGCTTTAAAATCACACAAGCTGGCAAAGAGCAGAAGCATCTTTTCATTCTCAGAGATCAAGGTTTCTTTGCCAAGAACATTAATTAGAGCTGATTGGCTGCCACTTTCTGCAGCTGTTTGACTCGACCTCGTTGGAGCACATAAAGACCTTCAAGACAGAGAGACCAGTCAACTCTGCTGCCATCTCCCCAATCATGGACCATGTAAGGCCTGACACTCCCCAGTCTGCCCCATGGGCTGGACTCGTGTCTCTCTCTCACACACACACACACACACACACACCACATAGATGTTTCAGCAGTGGATGCTGAGTGTCGTTCTGTTCCTCTTCAGGTGGTCATGGGAGGTGGACAGGAGGCCATGGAGGTCACCACCACCTCTACGAGAATTGGCAAATTCGAGGCCAGGTAGGTGTACAGTTGCGGTGGGTGGGGGGGTCAATATCGTGTTTGCGGTGTCTGAACCATGCTTGTGACCCAATGTTGTCTCCTCCCCCAGGTTCTTTCATGCTGCATATGAGGAAGAGTTTGGAAGGGTGAAAGGTCATTTCGGGCCCATCAATTGCGTTGCGTTCCATCCAGATGGAAAGAGGTTTGCCCCTCCCCTTTGCTGACTGAAGTATGCAGCAGCTGCGTAGCGCGCATATGTGTGTGTGGCGGCTACGGGGAGCATGTGTATGTGCGCGTGTGGCGGCAGCTGGGTGGGGGTGTGTGGCGGCTGCTCTGTGTGGCGGCGGCTGGGTGGGGGTGTGTGGCTGCTCTGTGTGGCGGCTGCGTGTGGCGGCTATATGACATGGTCTTGTCTCATCTCTCCTGCAGCTACAGCAGTGGGGGGGAGGACGGCTACGTCAGGATACATTACTTTGACCCACACTACTTTGAGTTTGAGTTTGAGGGGTGAAGAAGGACCCCCCCCTCACCCACCTCCAGTGATACCCTGCAGCTCTGCCCCTCGCGTGTCACACACCAGTCTGCTGAGGATCTGGACTGTCTGACAGAATTTTTGTTGGTTCTGTGGATACTGCTAAGTGCTAACCCCCCCCATGCTGATAAGTGATTCATGCAGTTCTCACAATAAAGGGCATCTCAGCTTAATGTGCTGTCGGCAACAATCTTCTGCCTTTGATATTCTGGGGATACAGCAAGTACTGGAATGGAATCATTCATGAAGCTGCTGTTACTCTGCTGATCACAAAGAGGGCGGGGAGGTTGGGGGGGTGGCTGATCACAAAGAGGGCGGGGAGGTTGGGGTTANGGGGGGGGTGGCCGATCACAAAGAGGGCGGGGAGGTTGGGGTTACAGGCTTTGAATATCCAGTTTTACACAGGTAATCTTTGAAAAGTTTATTCTCATTGTTCTAATAACATGACTTTCCGTCACTTTACAATAATGCTGCCACTGTATGTAACTGACCAGCTGTTCTAAGGGGCCTGTGGCATGTTTACAATGATCAGTTCAGTGGCCTCTTAATGGGCGCCTGGCCACATGGACATTGAGGCCTGTATCCATCTCCTCATTTCTCACAGCAGGCCTGGCGTAGGTGCGTACCAAGCCCCCAGTGTCACCCTTAGCTAGCCATAAGCATGGTGTCCACATATTCTTCCTGTTACACAGAGCTTCTCGCTGTCCTGCGTGTGCAACTCAAGGTGCCACAGAGTCGCTGTGGAGATGCTGCTGCTGTCCTGCCCAGTCTCTCGTCAGTCAGCCACAGGGGCGGGGGCCAAGCACCTTTCTGCCCCCAGCTCTGTCCAATCCGGTCTGCAGCCTTGGTTTGTGCTCCTGGTCAGCAGGCTCTGCATCTCCTCCAAGGCCTCCTGCAGGTACTTGGTGCTGTAAGTCCACCTGAAAAACAACCCTGAAAAAGCATGAAGAGGCCATGCAGGTCAGACGCAGGCTTCAGCTGTCCTAAGGCACCTCCTCATGCATCTCGTAAGCAAGGCGCAGAAGAGCATAACTGCACCCTGTACAGCCGCATTCCCCGATAGGAGGCCTGTCAGAATGTTTGGGGCATGCAGAACACCTCATGTGTATTGGTGCATTCTGGCAAAGGTGCCGTTACCATCTGGCATAACTAGAGGTAACGATTGTCTTGGCTTTTTGTTGTTGATAAAATTTGGCTCTTGGGAAATTATATTTGAATAACCTTCCTGTACATCATACAAGCTCTTCCTGATGAAATGAAACAACAATGCCACTTATTTCAACCCCTGTATTAGCTTAGTCACTTCCTCTTGTCTGTATTAGCTTAGTCATTTCATCTTGTTTGTTTGACTCATCTGCCGGCCCCTGGAGGATGGGCTCCCCCTTTGGGTCTGGTTCCTCCCAAGGTTTCTTCCTCTTAGGGAGTTTTTCCTTGCCAC